TGGGCTGTATTATAAAGTGTTGCCATGTTTTTATCTTCTGTGTTAAGTAGACTGATTTTACATGTACTGAAATGTGTTATATAAATGTCATTGGCATCTGAATGAGCCATAACTAAACTCATGAATAAAAACATTAAAATAGATTTGAAATATATGTAGAGTGATGTAATGTAAATCTCTTTCAGTTTTTCCTCAAACTGCTCTGTCAGCCTCAAGATTTGAATCATTAAAGATACAGACATTCTCAAAATCAAAGTCAAATGTCACCAAACAACTTTTAAATAGACCAAACAAAAACAACTGAAAATGATTGAGACAAAATCAATCAGAGATGGTGTTTTGATTTAATCAGCACTTCCTCTGGGAGAACCTGTATGTGTCCAGGTTTCTGCAGTTTCTACCCAGTCAGCAAATCTGAAACATCCAAAACTGTCACGGTTCTGGGCCTGTGGCCCAGTGTTTTGATTCTATATTATTGTTTATTGGTCTGTTTTCCTTTGGATTCTTGGCTTATGACTACTGGTGTTTTGGTTTCTGTTCTATATTTCTTAGCTTGTGTATTCCTTTGCCCCTGATGTCACTCTGACCCCTGTACTGTGTTCCTCCTGTTCTTGGTCAGAGTTATCAGTGTTCAGTCTGTGGATTTCCTGTTTTACTTTGAAGGTTCATATCTTATGTCAGTGTTTCTAGTTTCGCTTCCTCTGTCTCGTTTAGTCTAATTTCTCCCGGCTGTGTTCCCACCTGTTCCTCGTTTCCTCATTTGCCTGCCAGTGTATTTTAGTCCCTGTCAGTTAGTTCTTGTTGTCGCATTGTTAATGTCAGTTCACCCTCGTGCTGTGTGGATCTCCTTGTGTTTCCCGTGAGTTTATGTTGTTTCCCAGTTCAGTTTAGTTTGCTTTGTAAGCTTGATTTCCTGTGCCAGCAAATAAAGCTGAGATAAAAGCTTTTGAGTTCATCCCTTGAGTCTGAGTCCTGCATTTTGGGTCCACCACTCCTGCTTGCCTGCCTGCCACACAGCCAACCATGACAAAAACAGAAAAAGAGGTTTAACAAAGAGCGATAACAAATGGAAACTTTGGTTTCCATTGGTTCCATTAAGGACAATTGTTTTAATTTAAAACATTTAATGTAATACTGATGATGACATTTAAGGATTTACCAAGTGATGTTTCATCGTCTGGAGTTGCTGCAAGTTGATCATAATATTTTTTCACCATCTCAAGCTCTGTTGAAACATCTGAAAAACAAAACATTTTTTAATTGTTTCCCGCCACAGTAACAGTGTCACTCAGTAATTTTTAAGTTAATTAAAAAATAGATAGACAAATAGGTAAACAGACTGTGCTATCAGGTGCAAGACTGTAAAGATAAAGAGAAAAGGAAGGAAGCATTATCAAATGTAATTACAGCAAACTGTCCTGTTTACCTGGGAGTAAGCTCCCATCAGTTTTAAATGAACTTTCAATGGATTCCTTCATAATTTTCTCCAGAATCTCCAGGATGTTTACCTATTTTAGAAATTGTAATTACTTATCACAGATCAAAATGTGTTAAAGTCAAATACAATGACATTTAGAAGTTTCTCAAACTGGATTAAAAATATAAATTGAACATACATTTTTGTCTAAGTCTATTCCAGCTAAACAGAAAAAGCCTTTGGGTGAATTATAACAAAATATGGCAATCATATTTCTTCATAAAACATGACAAACCATCAAACTGTGCAACTTCTCCAACATGGTATTTTTTGCCTGCTCAAACATGTCCTTATTTGAGTGCACGTGGTCCTTAATAGTCTCCCTCATGTTGTACAGCGTTCCTTCTCCTTCAAATTCTGCAGCCTCTACAATAAGACAGAAAGCTCCAATCAGATTTCTCTTTCTGAATAATGATAAATATGTGTTTTAGTGCCAAGTTGTGAATCTCTGATTTTATCTCTTACTGCAGTAGCCTTCTTCCATAATGTCTTCAATTGTCTCTGTCAGACTGCTGTAGACTTTTTTCTTCTGTTTCCGCATCATTCTGTTCAGTTTTGCCTTAATTTTTTCTTCCTTAGACACAAAACATGAAATACGGATGAAAATCATTTTAAATCATATAAAGTCATAAAACATTTTTTTTACTGTCCATTAGTTTAGACAGGAAAGTTTCATCTCTTACCTCTGTCTTGAGAAATCTGAGCTGCAGTTCAGCACTTTTGTACTTTTCAATCAGAGAATTAGTGTTAAGAGAAAATTCATTGATGACTCCGTTGAATGCTCCACGTTCTGAGTCATTTCTAAAACATATAAACATTGTGGTTATTAATGGCAGAATTGGCAAGTTTATATGTTATAAATTATCTTGAATAATATTATGTGACTGTTTAGAACGTGTTTTTTCTTACGGGAAGGTCTTTCTGAATTCTTCATCAATGCTGTCAGTCAGACATGAAGCCAACTTCATATTAAGGTTAATTAGTTTCCCGTTCTTTGGTTTGTGGATGCCACCATTCTCAACGACACACTTCAGTACCTTGTGAAAAGCACCACCCTTCTTTCCCTAAAACAAAAAAGAAAACAAAATTATTTAAATACATATTACTGTTAAATCTGTAATTTTTTTTGTAACTATATTTAAAATACATACACGATACAAGAAGTTCTTGAGTTTTTCTCCATATGAACCTTTGGATTTCTCAACGCCATCATTAAGACATTTTTCAAAAGCCATAATGGTCTCTTCCATTTCTTTTCGGACATTTTCAAGTTGGAAGTTCATGATTCTCTCAAGTTCTCCAAACACCTCGCTTTTTTTACTATCCTGAAAAATATTTGAAGTAATAAAACCATAAAAACTACTTGTCGTTTCTTATAGGTTTTTGAATTCAGTTGGTTTGAAAAATCACTTTTCTGTAATAAGAACCTGAGAAATTAAATATAACAGCAAAAATATATGAGATAAGTAATAACCCATAAATTATTTTAAAAAAAAACTAAATAAGAAACACAAAGACAATTGATAAATCCCAACATGTAAGAGAATGTTGTTGTATATCTTTTACTTGACCTTACCACTCCTCTGGAGTTGGCTCCTTGAATCAAAGACAGAATCCCATAAGCTCCACTCACATAGTTTACTGTCTCTGAGTGACAGTCATTGAGTTCTTGCAAAAATCTCTGAAGTTTGGTTATTTCTGTTAAGAAGAAATTTCAGTGCCACAGTTTGACATTACACACTTTAATTCAAACTAAATATTTTTTCTTTCAGTCAGAGCAAACTAAAACAACATGTGCACTGAGACTTCACCTACCAGTTTCTTCTGGATTTAGATGCTTCCCTTTTAAGAACTCTCTGGAGCTCACTGTGAACACTTTGAAACTGTCATCAGTGAAGTGTTTCTGCGGAAAAATGATTTAATTTTAAAGCATCTTTGCAACTGTGGATAGTCTGTATTATTTTCTGTCAGCCTATAAAACTCACCTTAATCTTGGTTCGCTTGTTGAATGCCTTCTTTACTTCACTCTTGGCTTGAATGTTTCTTTTAACTATTCGATCATGGATATCAGCTGATGAACTACATGAAATTTGCATATATGTACTGTTACCATCATCGCTATTATCATCACCATGATTAATTTGGGGCAGGCTGGGTGATTTTGATTTACTCTTGAGCTACGTCTGTCTTCGTTTAAAAAAAACCCAATCCACATGTGCAGTTTAAAAAATATATCTCTGTTCACATGTAAACGCAAACACAAAGTCAAACGCTGTCAAGAACATGCCAAATCCTAACCTTCTTGGGAGTAAGTAAACAAGTAAACACAAAACCTTAAGTACTTCTGAAAAGTTTTTGTTTTTCTGAAAAGGCAACTAATTTTGTGTTACTTTTCAAGTGCCATTTTCAAACGCTTTCATTATTTGAATAATGTTAATAACTAAAGACAGTACTTTGGATTTTGCCTCACTGGCTCTCTTGGCCAGAGTTTATTCAAATAAGAACAAAACTGACAAATACTACATTAGTCTGAGTGATTTAAAATCATAAGTCACAGCGCTGTGAAATATGGCTGGTGTAGACTCACAACTTATTTATGCATACAGCATACAAATATTTAATTAAAAAAAATTAAATGTATTCAAAAACAACGACGCGTTGGCATCGGGATTTGGCTTCTGTTTAATGTAGAAGCCACATCCGAAGTTCACTCTAGGGGTGTCCAAATTCATAGGCTGCATCCTCCTGAGGACCCGGCCCATGTAAACCGCGAAGGCCGGGTCCTCAGGAGGCCGGGTAGGCCAGAAGCGAGCAGCTGTGAAATTGGACGATCTAGCCTTCAGTTTTGCGTCACCAGCTGTCTCGGAGTTTAATAAACTCAGTCGTCTGCTCCTTGCTATCTAAAATATAACAGGACACAGGAGTAAATTCTTGATCATCTCACACTTCTGTTTAATCAGTTTTCTGTTTGACGTTTATTCAGCTGTGTATCGCCCACCCAATCCCCACAAGAGATTAATACAGTTTTATTTAATCTACTATAATCTAATAATTTTAATCTCAGCCAAAATGATTTACTCACAAACAAATAAAACACTGAAAAAAGCCAAACAGTAACATTTTCAGTTATCTAAGTGACTTTATTTGATGAGATCATGTTTAACCTGAGTAGCGAAAGACCACGGGAGGTTTGAAAACAATGTGCCAGGAGTTCGCTGTTCTCGAGCTATCGAGCTCCTGGGTAACAGACGTCTCCGAAAAAGTCGGAGCACATTGTTGGAAACTGGAATTGGCTTGACCGCGCTATGAATTCGGGGATATGGTGGGCCACGAAGGATACACCCGACCCATCCTTCAAATCTGGGGAAATGAAGGACACATTTGTCGGCCGCATTCGGAGGAGTCTACGAATTTGGACAGCCCTCATTGCGTTGCTGTGATGTAATCGGCCTACAAATGCGGCCTCATGAGGATGCAGCAGATGAATTTGAACACCCCTTCTGACTCCTGTCTTTCAAAATGGAGGGACAGTAACTGCGGGTGTATATGTAAGCGTCTAAAAACTGCAGATAGCAAGATTAACAGCAACAGTATACTGTGTAAATCCACCAGTGTAGAAATTCATTTAATCGAAACAATATTTTGGTGTACAGCATGATGTCAAAACGTTGTGTGACGAAATCTCTGTATTCCAGTTAAACACAGAAACGGAGTTTTCAAAAATCTCCACGCTGGCACGATTTTTTTCTAAAAAAAAAAAAATCTCAGTTATTAGTGATACAAAACACAGTTTACGTGCGGACAAAAAGCCCAAACGCATAGAAAAAGCTGTGTTTTCAAAAATACCCATGTAGGTGTGGACGTAGCTTTGGCCTTTAGGTGGAAATGTGGGAGGCTCCCTTTCTGACAAAGCTGAGCTTTCCCTGACTGTTGCACACCTGTAACTCATGGTCATCGCCTAAATTGTGTTTAAAGATTGGCTGTGGCACTGCTTCTCTGCCACCTTAGGGTGTTGCTCTCCACTACTTGACCAGTTCATTTTATATTTCTTTCATTGTAAATAAACCTATTAAATGTCATATTAGTTGTGCAAGTTTGCCTTGCGGATCCAGTTTATAATGATATGACTTTATTTGTTTAATGTATTTATTTTGACTGTTAAAAAAGCCAAACAAACTCGCAAATATGGGAGACTGGTAGCATTTATTCTAAAGCACTTGGAGAAAGGCCAGCATGTTTATTTGGATCGTGATGTCACCACACGCTGACATGCTCACATACAAATGTTTTTTTTGTCACAGCAACTATTTTAACTTTGTTGCTGAAGGACAGTGTAATGGCACTTTTGCTTTACAGTGTAAAATTGTTGAATTACTCGACTGTAAGGACCAGGATATGCATGATTTCCTATAATCTCATAGATTATGTGCAACATACATTAAAGCTGCCATGATGTCAGTTTCATCTTTTTCTCCTCCTGCTCTGCTGTTATTGCTCACCCTGTTCTCTCTTGCTGTCCCTCTACCACTGCCTTTCCCACTCTCCTCTATTCCCCTCCCTCTCTGTGTATTACTCAGTCCACCATCTTCAGCAAACTTTATAAAATTGTATCTGCCTCTGAGACTCCCTTTGACCCAAATGTTCTGTATTATTAAAGAAAAGGCTCAAGGTTGATCTTACATGGAAACACCCTGTAGTTGATCAGCATTCAAAATGTACTTACAGATCATCTGAATCATCAAGAAGATCAGACTTGGTGCAGATAAAGTGAATTTGCTGACATTCGCCACCATTTCCAATCAGACTACTGACACTTTCCAGGATCTCCCAGGCCTCTTTCTCTGATGCTGCTCGATTAATGTCAGTCACAATCCACACAGTAGAACAATCTCCAACTATCTGAAAGGAGAATAACATGTCTCAGTGCTTCATTGAAAGATGACTGTTTACAGACAACACAGTATAAGCAAAGAGCAGTAAATGTGAATTACCCCTTTCCACATCTGATCTCTGCTCTTGTTACAGTCACCATTTCCAGGAAGGTCCACAAGTGTGACATGCTGGAGAAAAGGATTGTTTGGCACCCTGACAGTCACACACTTCACTAGTGGCCAAAACCATGTTTTTCCTTCATTACCTTCTCCTTGTTTTGACTCACTTCTTGTGTACTTGACAAATTGTGCAGAAAGTTCATTAGCCTGCAATAAATAGTAAAAGCAGTGCAGTTTAATTTCAATCCTCACAGAAAGTGCTTTACAAAAACCGTTAAAAAGTCTGTGACATAAAAAAATACTAAAAGAACAGCCAGTATTACTATTAGCAGAAACTACTTCATGTGGGCATTTTGCACAGTTGTCCACCACTTTGAGACATCAATTACACTGATTTACTAAAATTTGTGGCCACTTTGATTCAGTCTTTGCCGACTTTGCTCAGCAGTGAATTTCTACGAAGCAATTTAAAGTGTAAGAGTAGGTTAAAATAGGGAACTGATCACTGTTGTGTAAAGACGTAAAGATTCTGACTGCGATTTAAGAAGAAGAAGAAGAAAATCATGCTCTACAAAACCAGACCTGGACCAGTCTTGGGTCTTGTTAACCACAGTTATTACAAGAAGAGATTTTTTTCTGGAAATGTGATCATCTAAAGATCATTGTGGGATCTCAGTAAGATCTGTTTCGATCACTGGATCTGTTTTCAGTGTTTTGTTTTTTGGACTTTTGACTCTATGCTGCATTCTGTTTTCAGAAGTGAACTTTGTTTCTAGCTCTTAGTCTTTTGTTAATTTTTTCAGTTCCCTTTTGTGTTTAGGTTGTCCTAGTTTCACCTGTGTGCCCTTCCCAGCATTGCCACTGGGTAATCTACAGTGGGGCAAAAAAGTATTTAGTCAGCCACCGATTGTCCAAGTTCCCCCACTTAAAATGATGACAGAGGTCAGTAATTTGCACCAGAGGT